ATAATATTATATATATTACAAACTATAATATATTATAATATATATAATATAATATTATATATATTACAAACTATTTATATTATATGTAACAGTTATAATAAGTACATATTAAGTTATTTACTAGAAAAAGGTAGCAGATGTAGACAGTCACTAGTGTAGAGATATAATTACTTTAGGGGGTAAAGCAGTAATTTCAGGCACTTTAGGGTGAAAAAATGAAGAAAAAATCGCACAGCACGCGCGTGCAAACCACTGCCGTCATTTTTGACGGTTTAGGGGGTTTCGTGCATGTAAAAGTATATTACAAGGGGGTATGGCACAATTTTTAAAATACAGGGGGAAAACGCGCAGATTTCGTATAATACAAGGGAGTTTGGCGCAATTTACCCATTTTTCTTTTTTTTAATTGAAAAATAAGATATATTACATAAATTAAAATATCATTAATTATTTATATTAAAAAAATAAAATAAAAATACCAAAATTCATAATTTTTCATTATCTATAAATAGAGACCACATTTGATAGGTTTTTGAACACAACTAATTTTTCGTTTTCCGTAATTATTTTATTATACTGACATATAATGAAAATGTTACATAATAAGATGAATATATTTTCAAATAAGATGAACATGTTACAGATTGCAGATTGAAAATAATACATATTCTATCTTATTTTATAACATGTTCATTTTATTATGTATGTAACATGTTCAACTTATTCAATAACATGTTCATTTTATTATGTAACATGTTCATCTTATTATATAACATGTTCATCTTATTCTATAACATGTTTATTTTATTATGTATGTAACGTGTTCAGCTTATTCTATAACATGTTCATTTTATTATGTAACATGTTCATCTTATTTTAGAATATGTTCATCTAAATTTCATATGTGAAAATGTAACATTTTCATCTTATTCTATAACATTTTCATCTTACTCTATAACATGTTCATCTTACTATGTAATATATTCATCTAATTATAAATTTGCGTCATAATTTTCCAATAAGATAAATTAATTGTAAAAAATAATAAATTAATAGTGTTCCAAAAAAATATCAAATGTGCTCTCTATTTGTAGAGAATGAAAAATTATGAATTTTGGTATTTTTATTTTTATTTTTTGATACAAAATATGAATAATAATTTAATTTATATAATATGATAAATGAAATTTATTACGCAATAAAAATGAGACACGTGTCTCATTTAAAAAAATACTTACCTCCTTACTTCTCACGCGCCGGGATATAATTAACATAAGGCCCTGCCACACCTAAGTATTTGCCTGCGAATCCCTTCTTCTGGATTTTGTGCATTTTGTTTTTTGTGGACAGAAAAAAACTACCACATCATATCTCTCTCACATTATCATCATTCATCACCGTTGTCACCTCTCTCTCTCTCTCAAACCAACAATGGCAGCCAACCTTTCTTTCTTTCAAATCTCTCCACGGATCCTTCAGAACAGAAGAAAAACAGGCTCGCCTGCCAAAGTAAAGTTCGGTGGTACTGCACATGAAACACGACGTACACCTCCCATTCCGGCGTTCATGATTTTTTTGGTTCCCTAACAGCAGTGCTTAATGCAGGGAGTACGGTGGTGAGCTGTTCGTCCTTGAGTGGCGGGAATGGGGGCCCACAGGATGACGCCGTTAAGAGGCTTCGGGAAGAGAAGCGTCGGGCTGAGCTCTCGGCCCGAATTGCCTCTGGTGAATTTACCGTTGGGAAGTCCAGGTAAGTAGTGTGCATGCAACAAAGGGTTGTACCACGCGTCTTATCTGTCGTACTACTGCTCTGGTGGGGAGGGATTGAGCGCAATTGAGAGCGAGAATTGAGATTTTAGCTGGCTTTGTATTCAGGAAGCTGTGTTGCGTTGTCTGTGCTAGTTTGATTTTATGTTTTTCCTGGAAAATGGTGTTTGGCCTACTCGGGCTCAATTGGAAATGCTAGAACCAAGCAGGAACTGGATTTTGCAAATCTTGCAGCTTTGATTATTGGTTTACATCCTAACATTGATTGGTCCCAATTTTTTGTCTCAAGTATTGAAAAGAGGCTGATAATTCTCTTTTTTTATTTTGATTATTTCAACATTTCCTTCCAGCAATAGCTTTCTTTCAAAACTCAGAAATGGTTTGTCGAAAATGGGCTTGCCCGATCAAGTAATCAATTTCATACTCAATGGTGGCCCAGAGGAGTATTTAAAGATTCCAGAGGCAAGAGGTGATATCAGAGCCATCAGTAGCGAACCTTTTTTCATTCCATTGTTCGAGCTGTACCTTACTTACGGTGGGATATTTCGGCTCACTTTTGGTCCTAAGGTTGGATTTTTTATCTTTTGGTGCGCCCCCATAGTTATATGCGGTTTGAGGAGTAATTGTGTGGGGGGACATTGCTTTGCAGTCATTTTTGATAGTGTCAGACCCCTCAATCGCCAAACATATATTGAAAGACAATCCAAAAGCTTATTCAAAGGTACATGATTGAAAAACTATAAAATTGATTCTGTTCTCATTAATGCCACTGTGTTGAAGAAACACTTATAAAATTAACTTCTTTGATTCTCTTCCTTTCTTCTTTCCTTTGTCAGGGCATTTTAGCTGAAATCTTGGACTTTGTAATGGGGAAAGGACTTATTCCTGCTGATGGGGAAATATGGCGTGTCAGAAGACGGGCTATAGTCCCTGCACTGCATCAGAAGGTAGTAACAAAAAGAGTGCAATTAAGAATAATTAGAACTACCCATAAGGTGCTAAGGTTTAGCTTAATGGCAAAAAGGATAAATATCAACTGTCGTTTGAAATTGCAAAGTATGATCTTGAAGTCTCTGTTTATGTGACTCCCCTTCTTGGGTACAATCTGTAAATTTTAAATGAAATTGGACTTTTTCCTTTTTGTTATTCGAAATCGGCTAAACCTTTAAAGGTAATTGGACTTTTTTCTCTTTGTTATTCTAAATTGGCTAAACCGTGGAGGTACTTTCTATAGTTAAAAAAATATATGTCACTCCACTTGGACTATATTAGTTTAAATACAATTTTTGAAACTGCAGAGCGTACTTAGGCACTGAAGTCTCGTTTGGTGAGTAGAGGTTTGAATTTTGAAAATTAAAGGTAGGGAGGATGTCTGAGCTGTAACGGTGCCTTTTGAGGCTTATTTAAAGAGCTACTAACTGATGTAGTTTGTGTTTCTTCCTTTTAGTTTGTGGCTGCAATGTTCCGACTATTTGGAGAGGCAACAGATAGGCTGTGCAAAAAGCTGGATGCTGCTTCATCCTATGGTGAGGATGTGGAGATGGAGTCACTTTTTTCCCGTCTGACATTAGATGTCATTGGCAAAGCCGTATTCAATTATGATTTCGACTCTCTAAATGTTGACACTGGAATCGTAGGGGTATTATATTTCGCTTCATCTGTATCACTCTCAAGTTCTATAATTAATACCACAATAGAGTTCCACTCACTCTTAACAAAGAAAAATATCCCTAATGGTTTTTCTATTAACCAAGAAAACAACACTTGATAACAATGTATTCAATGGAATATTTAAAATCGAAATATTATTCAACAATGTATTTGTGATTTTGAAATTTAATGGTGTGAGCTGTATTTCTAACTATAGCTTTATATTAAAGCAGCTCTAATGTTTTTGGATAGGCTGTGTACACCGTCCTGAGAGAAGCTGAAGACAGAAGTGTTGCACCAATTCCGTTTTGGGAGATTCCCATATGGAAAGATATTTCCCCAAAGCTTAAGAAGGTTAATGCAGCTCTTAAGCTTGTCAATGAAACACTAGATGGCCTAATTGCAATTTGTAAGGTAAAATTTGTTCACGCGGTTCTTCATTTTTTTACCTTTAATTTGCAAGTTAGTTTGATGAGAATGACAAGAAAGTGCAACAAGAATAATAGATTGTCTGCAGCCATGGGTGTTATGCACAAAAAATAATATGACCTAGATTCAGAACATTGAGTTAGTATTATCTAATTTTGACAAGTCTTGGATATTTTGTCTGGTGTTTCAATGAATAAACAGAAATGCCTAAGTTCCTAGTAAGCCCCTAGTAATTATTTATTGAGTGACATTATCTGTAGTCATCTGCTACATTAGGGGAAAGAATCGCACTTTTGTAAGAACATAAATGTACATTGTGGGTATCTCATTTTTTTTAGTTTAATTGGTCACTTTATTTCTTTATGATTTATTCATAGAAGGTGTACATCCACAACTATTTAACAATATTTTTGGTGATTTGAAACAGTTTTTATCATATGTATACTCGTAGTATATACAACTTTTTTTTCATTAGTTAAATAAATGATGGTATATTTCATCATGAATAATCCCAAATGTATTCAAAGCTGAAATATATTTTCAATTAATGATAGTAATTGAAAGTTATGATAAAAATGAGTAGATATAGAAATTTGCGTTGAAAATTCAAAATTATAGTAATTATTAGTATCAAATTTTCAATGATCTTATAAAATAGTTTACTAGGCTACATTTGGAATTTCATTTTTCCAATAAACGACTGTCACTTTTAAAATAATACTAATAATATTATTATTTATTATTATTACCTTTCGGAATAGCAATGTAGTAGGCCATGGGTTAGCGCGATAGATGATCGTCGAAGCTTCTATGACTGAACTGCGCTTCGAGTCAATTTCGGTGCGTGCGTTCTCTGCATAGAAATATTGGAGGCCTAATTCCAGGACTCGAATCGAGTTATTATTATTATTATTATTATTATTATTATTATTATTATTATTATTATTATTATTATTATTATTATTATTATTATTATACCAAACCTCATGGTAGTATTGCAATTTATTTTCTTTCTTCCAGTTTGTCCAACCATAACGTGTTAATACCTGTCGCCATGAGGTTTCTTATTTATCATTTTATGTTTATTCATTATGTACTTGCAGAAAATGGTAGAAGAAGAAGAATTGCAGTTTCACGAGGAATACATCAATGAGCAAGATCCAAGTATTCTTCATTTTCTACTAGCATCCGGGGATGATGTATGCCATCAGTGTACAACTTATTAATCATTTATCTGTTGAAAAATGAATTTGCTGACCTAAATAATTTTGCAGGTTTCGAGCAAACAACTCCGTGATGATCTAATGACACTACTAATAGCTGGGCATGAAACATCTGCTGCTGTCCTAACGTGGACGTTTTATCTACTTGCAAAGGTGCTGAGAATGCCATTGAAACTTATTTACCATCACATTTCCTTTCTCGTCTTCTATGCCTTGACATTTCAAAAACATGTAGGAGCCAAGCATCATGGCCAAGCTTCAAGACGAGGTTAGTTGAGCTACTAAAATTGCAACTCAGCAATATTCCTACCTGTCATTGAATACAGAATTTTAATTTATATGTACGCCTTACAATGGTGTAATCTAGGTCGACTCCGTCCTGGGTGATCGATTTCCGACCGTTGATGACGTGAAGAAGCTCAAATATACATCTCGAGTAATTAATGAAGTGAGTAAAGCGTATCTATTCATGTGCCAATAACTTTAATAACCCTCCCCTTTTTCTTTTATATCTCCATCTTAAATTTCCTTATTCACTTTGCAGTCATTGAGACTCTATCCACAACCACCCGTTTTGATCCGTCGGTCGCTTGAGGAGGATGTACTTGGAAAGTACCGGATAAAAAGGTTAATAATTCAAAATATTATGGCTAAAGACACTAATACTTTTTTCGGCTGAGTTTCATAAATATGAGACAACATTTTGTCACGGAAACTTATATGTTGGTGAATAATGTGATTGCTAAACTATGCCTTGGAAGTAGCTGTTTAGCATACATTCATGTTACCGTTTCTCGTATGAAACATCTTCTTATCTTGATTTATCAAAAAACTAACTTCATATCAAATCATTTTTCAGGGGTGAAGATTTATTCATCTCTGTATGGAATTTGCATCATAGCCGTGATCATTGGGAAGATGCAGAAAAATTTAATCCTGAAAGATGGCCCTTGGATGGCCCTAGTCCAAATGAAACAAATCAGAATTTCAGGTCTGCTGATAAAGTTGCTTTTACTAAGAGTCTTGCACAATATTTTAAACACATACATATAGGATTTTTTTTTAATAAAAACAAGTGTTGGTGTGGGAATTATGTGGGAATTATGAAAAACCGTATATTATGTTATATGTAGTTGTGTATGATGCTAATTTTAACATCATATGTTATCATATATGCATATGCTATCATATATATTGTTTTATTTTTAAAAAGAAATTCCAATTTAAAATAACAACGAATATAATAAAAAATAGTATCACATATGGTTAAAAAAATAGTTTCCCGCAATTCTTACTACGCGATATGTACAAACCATACACCATAGATATAAATAAAGCAAACAGTTTTTTTTTTTTTTTGTCAAAACTAGTTGGTAAGATTCATTGTACAATAGCATAACCAACTGCTTTAGATGCATCCATCACAATAGGTTAGAATATATATAAACAGTTGAAAAGGTAAAGATATAATTTTCTAACCATTATTTGTGGCATTGATATAGTCTAAGGATTTTGTTTTATCATTTTTTTCTAAGTGGTGCAAAGGGTATAGATATTCATCTTGCACGAAAGTCGAACAAATAACATAATACCTAATATCACTTCTAATAGATTTATGTTTTACTCGTATAATTTATAAATTTCACCGTAGTAATGTGTGTATATTTGAAAAATTTATATAAAGAGGTGGCTCGAGGGAACATAATAAATCTAATATAACTAAATCTAATATAACTTTGGTCTTATATAACATACATTGACAAGTTATGGTAGATGGTGGTTTTACAACTGCATTTGTTTTTTCCCCAATTAGTTTGCAAATAGAGTTTGTATTATTTTTCATTTCTCTATTCATGCCTTAGTTTGCAAAACATGAAAAACGGTGCATTTAACTGCAAGGTAATCAAATTTTGGGTTTTCTTTTGCAAATAAGTCTATTTTCAAGGGCAAATGAATTAGTAGGTATGAGTAATAAATACCCTCATATATAATATTTAAGAATATACCTAGCCTTTGTGGTGGCATTGGAGGACTCTAGTGCATTTAAATCATATGCATCAATTTGCAGTGTGTGGGGTGATTAGGCCTGATATTATCCGATTCCTGGTACTTCTCTAAACATCGTCCACCTTAGGCTTGTTTTATTCTAGCAGTCGATGGTGGCCTCGATGGTGGCCTGATATTATCCTAAATGGTATTATCATAGGGTTATGAGTAATAATACCCTCATATATACTATGTAAGAATTAACATAGCCTTTGTAGTGGGATTGGAGGACACTTCTGCATTTAAGTCATATGGAAAATCTCATCAAGATATGATAATCCGTCTCAATAATATGCCAATTCTCTTATATGTTGTTTCCTTAAAAGGTTATATTGTGGAATTTCATTGACATAACTAGACTATTGTTCTTACAGTTACCTGCCCTTTGGGGGAGGACCTAGAAAATGTATCGGAGACATGTTTGCTTCGTACGAGGTAGTTTTACTGAGTCAAAACTTTATTCGAGCAACTTGAGATTCTTATTGTAATGAAATGTCAACCCACTCGAATTTCTGATTTTGTAGAATGCTGTAGCAGTTGCAATGCTCGTTCGTAGGTTTGACTTCCAAATGGCACCTGGAGCACCGCCTGTAAGTAATATATTACCTTTATTCTTCACTGTACATGAGGACTGCCTCGTCCAGTTCTAACATCAATATTAGCTGCATATCCCTTTTCGGCGAAATATATATTGTAGATGAGCAGTTTTCTAAGATAAAAGATCTATTTTAGTCTTACAAATTTCAATTTGAAAAAAATATTGTGAAATTACTTTTTTCAACTATGAGTGAGTTCTTAGCCTTTTTTTTCCCAAATACTACCAATTTAAAGCACACTTTCTGAACGCCAAACTCTCATAAGGTAAGAAAGACTGCCGCTGTTTGTGCAGGTTAAAATGACAACAGGTGCCACAATTCACACTACCGAAGGTTTGAAAATGACGGTTACACCACGAAATCGACCTCCTGTCATACAAAATCTGAAAATTTCCACTGTAAAAGTCGATTCCTCTTTAGATATTCCAACAGAGGTAAAAACAGTCTCTGGGTAGAACGGTAAGGTCTCTCACTCTTTCCTAGTTACCTTTGCATTTCGACCCCAAAATCATTAAAGAACAAAATTAGAGATAGTGTGAGAAACAACACGTTGTCTATAACCGAATCGAATTCTTTCCCAGGACGATCGTCCAAAAATTTGGGTTCGGGATCACCAAAAAAAAATAAAAAATAAAAAATAAAAAAAAAAATAGGTGAGCTAATCCAAAAGAAACTGCTCAATAATATTCAACTACCTATATGTGTATTTACCAAGTATTTTTCTCCCACTCCTACAAATGGTTGTAGATATATTTGGGTTCATCTAAGAATATCACGTAGTTTAAGTTGTCATTTTGTCTCGAATGATTACTATTCGAAAATGGATGATCTATTGTTTGAGGTTTATGGTTAAGATATGGATGCTCCAATTAGTAGAGAACTCGTTTACTCCCTTATTATGTTGTATGTATGCATGTACTATGTAAAGTTTGCTATGGCCTACGATGTGCTTGTAAGTGAATCGCTATTCACCGTCCCTTATTAATTATACTGTGCAACTCATTTGGGATTATAACTTTCATTATGTGAGATTCGAAGTATCAAGTGTACCATGATGTGTGTCAAAACTAATAATAAAACTATTCGTGGAGGAATAAAAGTAAAATTAAAAGGATGGGGGTTTTGATATGTTCAATTTACCTAAAATAATGCGAAATGAAATTCAGTTCAACTAAACACAAACAAGACTAAATTAGAGTAAATCAATAGAATTCATAAAAATAGTTCAACGATATCAATCATGGATTCACTGATAAATTTTCCTACTCTTGATTTCATTGCTTTTGTTCAATAACCATAATACAATTTTTAATTATTTCTCTAATTGACAGACAATCTTAAACTCAATCCTATAATATAATATATCAATAGCAATGAAATCTAGAAGGATCGCCAATTCTAGCTAACAAAATAAATCTAAAAGAATCGCCAATTCTTGTCAATAAATGCATATGTAGGTTCACTTAGTATAGATCATATCTTCCTATATATTATTCCCGAATGCGCTGAGCCTACGTGGCTGCTTCTGGTGTTTCGAAATCCTACTTGGCAAAGAACCATGCTTCGTAATTAGGTTTGGACAAATAATATTGATATATTAATAATTAATAATTAGGTTTGGACATTCCATAAATATTATTTAGCTAATTTAGGTATTTTAATATCACTTGTACTAATATAACTCTTTATTTTTTTTTTGTAATTTTACATAGTGAGGCACTAAGTGACAAATATATCCTGACTTTTGATTTGTTTCCTTCAATTAGCTATTGAATTATAAATGTATTTTAAAAGTTGATAACTTTTGTATTTCTTATCGGTTTTACATATCTAATATATCAAATTAATCATCAAAAGATGATCTTCGGTTTGACATCCATATTGTATATATGAAACAAATAAATTATAATTATTTTTATAATAATAAAAAATAATAATGTTTATTAAAATTCATTAGAAAAATAAAATTATTTCTCAATTGATATATTTATGTTTAATGTAGTAATATGTTATAAGCTAAAAAAATTATTATAATATAACACATGTAAGTTGCACAAATAAAAAGTGTCATACTAAATATATAATGATATATATATTTATAAAAGGTACTTAATTTTCAACTACTTTTTCTCATTAAATATTTTAAGAAAAAATTAGCAAGCTCCCGTGTAATACACGGGCGTTGTACTAGTATCTCTCTAATTGAAAACTCCAAGTAATCAACTATGTTATTTGCCATTAATATTAGAACGATTCAATAATTATGAATTCGACGTCCTAAATGGGGATATGCTATTCTGATTATGGAACAAAGAGTTTTTTTGCATCAATCAAACAAAATAATAATCTATCTACTACATAATTAAGCAACTCAGTTACTATTATTGGAAAGTTATCTTGTAGGTCCTACAAAGTGCTTTCTATTTTAGGGAAGTCATTAGAGCATCTTTAGCAAGAGCTTTTGGGGAGGTTTACAAACCCCCAACTCAAAGGTTTTACTATTAAATTTCATAGGTTTAAGGTTTACAAATTCACAACAGGTTTGCAAATGTAAACCTCTCTCAAACCTTATTAAATAATAATATATATTCAAAGTGGATGACCCACTTACTTTTCTTCTTTATTTTTTTATTCTTAATTTTTTTTATTTCATTTTTTTTTTTTT